GTGGAGGTTGGTCAGCGCTGGGCCCATTCCAATCTCAGAGGAGGGGTCTGTGATCCGGTGTTTAACAATCAGCATATTCTATCCCTCTTGGTCACAAGTGTTGGTTCAGGGTTAGTATTCTGTTTCAACCCCAGCTGGTGTACTGAAGTTTGGTTCTGACATTAACTACCTAGAATTAACAGACCCCACAAATTATGACCTCACTCCTCCCCAAGCCTTCCCCCACTCCAGATGCCAGCTGCAAATGGGGTCCCCCAGCCATCAGCACTTGTTTTGTCTGGTTTCTTTTGCTGAGGGCGATTCACCCTGAGCTAACATCTGTTGCCAATCTTCCTCTATTTTGTATGTGGGTGGCTGCCACAGCATGGCCACCAATGAGTGGTGTGGGTCCAAACCCAGGCCACCAAAGCAGAGCACAGTGAACTTAACCACTAGGCCATGGGGCCAACCCAAACTCTTTTCTTTCTTTCTTTTTTTTTTTTGAGGAAAATTAGCCCTGAGCTAACATCTGCCACCAATCCTCCTCTTTTTGCTGAGGAAGACTGGCCCTGAGCTCGTATCTGTGCCCATCTTCCTCTACTATTTATGTGGGATGCCTGCCACAGCATGGCTTGACAAGCAGTGCGTAGGTCCACACCAGGATTCGAACCAGAGAACTCTGGGCCGCCCAAGTGGAACATGTAAACTTAACAGCCACCAGGCTGACACCATCTGCATTTCTGACCAACGGTCCCCCAGCTATCTGCACTTCTGACCCTCCTCAGGTTTGATAATTTGCTAGAACAACTCATGGAATGTAGGAAAGTGTGATACTTATGATTATAGTTTTTTGGGTTTATTTTTTTTTAAAAGATTGGCCCTGAGCTAACATCAGTTGCCAGTCCTTTTTTTTTCTTCTTCTTCTCCCCAAAACCCCCCAGTACATAGTTGTATATTCCAGTTGTAGGTCCTTCTGGTTGTGCCATGTGGGACACCGCCTCAGCATGGCTCAATGAGCAGTGCCGCATCTGCACTCAGGATCTGAACCGGCGAAACCCGGGGCTGCCAAAGCAGAGCACACGAACTTAACCACTCGGCCATGGGGCCGACCCCCTGATTACAGTTTTATAATAGAGGATACAAGTCAGGAACAGCTAAATGAAAAGAGATACAGGGTGAGGTCAGGGAGGGTCCACATGCAGACCGTCCCTGCCCTCTCCCCATGGAGTCAGGGCATGTCACCCTCCTGCCACACCAATGTATTCACCAACCAGGAAGCCCCATTGAGCTTCAGTTTCCAGTGTTTTTACTGGAGTTTCATTACTTAGGCACAATGGTTAAATGATTGCCATGTGACTGAACTCAATCTCTAGGCCTCCTTCCCTGCCTGGACGTTGAGCTGGTTCAAAATACCAACCCTCTAATCACAAGGTTGGTCTTTCTGGTGACCAGCTTCCCACCCTGAAGCCATCTAGGGGCTTGCCATTAGTCACATTATTGACAAAAACTCAGGTGTGATCTAAGAGGCTCATGAATAACAGACACTTCTGTCACTTGGGAAAGTCCAAGTATTTTAAAAGTTCTGTGCCTGGACAGGAACCTGGGACAAAGACCAAATTCTCCATTATACAACAGATAGTAGTTGGGTGCCCCAAGCTGAGCTGAGACTCAATCCTGTTGCATTTGCTGGAGCTATTGGGAAAGCTATGATCTTTTTCCGCTATGATTGTTAAGCTGATAGAATGTACGTTTGGAGCTGCTCATGGCCATCTTGCTACCTATGAGGGGATAACCTGCCTGAGAATGAAGACAGTCCAGAGGAAGGCAGAGCTAAGAGACTGAGATCAAGTTCAAATGGACATTGTTTGTGCTTCTGGCTCCAGCCATGCCTGAAACCATTCTACCTCTGATTTTTCAATCCTGTGAACCAATAAACTCCCCTTTTCATGTTTAAACTACCTTAACTTGGGGGTAGGAGTTCTGTTACTTGTAGCTGAAAGAATCCTGAGTATTGCATCCCCCGTTCCTGAGGAAGAAGTGTTTCTCCCTTTCATATTAACATAGTAATACCTCGGATCCCATCTTTCCCACCTTCCCCAAATCTCACTCCTTCAATTACCATCCTTTCCACTGGTTCCCTTCCCCTTAGACTTCTGACATAATCAAGTCTCCCTCAGGATATAAACAAGCAAACCTGTCAACCCTCTCAAACTACAACCCTCCATATCTCTGTCCTTCCCTTTTTGGCCAAACCGTGTAGGACAGCTCTCCCCTTTCCTCCTCCCACTTCTTCACCTGCCATTCATTCCTCAGTCCACTACCATTTGGCTTCTGCTTCCACCACTTCCCTAAAGTTACTCCCACCAAAGTCACTAAGCAATCTTAGTCATCAGTGTTTTCTATAGGAGACAATGGCAGTGCCATGGATCCCTTTTTATCATTTTTGTGTGATTTGTTTGCCCAACCCACCCCACACACATACACTCTATACTGCCACACCCCCTGGTCTTTGGTGTGTGGTTTCTCTTCCAACAGTTAGAACTTCTGGGTTTTTTTGGTATGTGGGGGGAATGCCCTCAGGCTAGTGGATGCTTTGCCTCCATGAAGTGCCTGGGAATTGACATCTCCCAGGGGTAGCCCTTAGTCCACAGCTGAGGGATGTTGGTATGTGAAAGGCCCAGCTCCCTTGTTTCCAGACAAATCTGAAGCATAACTGACATCCAGAGCTCCCCTGCGGGATCAAGCTAAACTACTCTCTGCCTGAGATCACATTTGCTTGGTTTCCTCTCCTTCCCTTTCCCGCTTCTCCTACTCCCTTACTGGTGCCTCCTGGTAGCACTTTTTAAATAAATCACTTGCACACAAATCATCACAGCGTCTGCTTCTAGGAAACCTGAGACATCATCTCAGCAGTTTCTGCTCCTCTCTCTGCCTACTTGTTAAAAGAGGTTTGTTCTCCAGAATTAGGTCCTGAGGCCTCTTCTCTCTACATCTATTACCTGGACAATCTCATTCATATCCATGGCTTCAACCACTACTCGTGTCTGATCACCACTAAACTACTTTGTGCAGCTCAGACTGTAGCTCCATCTCTGCTGGACAGCTCCACATATTTGTCCATGGCCACCTCCTGCATTAATACCATGGTCATTAGCCATGTGTGGCTACAGTATTTTAATTTTAATTCATTAAAATTAAAACCAGTTCTTAGTCACACTTGCCACATCTCAAATGCTCAATGGCCACACGTGGCTAGTGGCTACCACATTGGACAGTGCCAATATAGAACATTTCAGTCATTGCAGAAAGTCTTACTGGACAGCTCAGACACAACCTTTCTAAACCTAACTCATCATCACCAGGGCCTTGCCTTTCTGTATGCCTCAACTGTGTCTCTCTCAACAATGGGCCAACTACAGAGAAAGGGTGTTGTAAGGGTATCGGGGGGAGGGAGGTGACCACAGAACTAGAGTCCTTTCCATTGCCACCTTCCTCTGAACTGGGAAGATTAATGGACAAAGATGGTGATGAAGACCTTAACAAAGGCCATCTGTGAGCCGATGTTAGTTTGGTTAGAGCCGGGGTAGAGCTGGGGGACTAAAGCTGGCTAGGCCAGAACTTGCCCTTCCCCAGTGACTTTTTCCAACTCCATTGCCTCAGCCTTGAACAAACATTCTTGTGTGAGGGCATTTATCCATCTCCAATCTCTTCAGTCACTTGCCTTTGTGTTCCAGGATGAGCACTTGATCCAAGCTAATTAGCTGAAGTCAGTTCTGGAAATTTTATTGCAAATCTCAGAAAAGAGGCATGCTCCTTCTTATTAGAGTTGCTAAGCCATTAGGACTTCAGTTTGGAGCTACGGAGAGCCATTTTGCCGCTAAAAGAGGAGAGCCCACCCTAGAGTGAAACCAAATGCATGGGGGAAAGCAGAGCTAGAGAAGATGAACCACAGGTTCCTGCTATCTTTTGGCCCTTTTATTCATCTGTTCCTGAAAGAGCTTGGTCCACTCTGGGCTTTTCAATTGCTCGAGCCAATAGATTCGCTTATTGCTTAGGGCAGTTGGAGCTGGGTCAGTGAGAGACCCGATTGATAGAGGATCTCATCGTGCTCACGATTTCAACTGCCCTCTATACCTTAATGATTCTCAATTTCTGTATCTGGCCTTGATGTCTCTCCTGATCTCCCGACTGTATGTCCACGTGCCTCCTGACGTCTCACAAGCACGTCCAAAACTGACCTTATTATTTCTGTCCCCATCTTTATTTCCCGTCTCTAAGATGGGCCCTGGTAGAACCTCCAGTCCTTTTCCTCAGAGAAGCCAAGGTCTAAGTTCAGGCCCCGCCTCCTCGCGGGGCCTCACCAAGGTCACCCGCGTCTTCCCTCGCCCAGCTCCTTGGGGGCGGTGTCCGCCCAGCAGCCGGGCCAGGCGCTCTAGGCTGCAGCGGGTCCTTCAAAGAACCTTCCCATCTCGCTGGTTCCCAGCACCCGGTGGCTACTCTAGCCTTCAATAGGGCCTCAGGACTCTATCCCCTAAGGTGGTTTCTCTATGGTTGACTTCTCTCCTTTGTCCGGAATTTCCTCCGGTTGGACACTCTGGTGGGATCCAGCCCCTCCTTACGGCTGCTTCTGTGGTTCCTTTTAGGTGCAACTGGGGCAGTCACTGAGCCCTCCGAGACTCACACCCTCTTAGCTCTTGAAGGGTTGCCCGGAGTGGGAGGATGGCGGAAGTGAGTGTGAAGGTGTCCTTCCCTGTCGCCGCTCTTCTCTATGGTTTCTTCCTTCGATGACGGGAAAAGGGGTCCCGGCGCCTGCGCAGAACTAAGCTGGGAGCTAGTCGCGGAGGTGGGGGTGGGGGGCAGGGAGCGGGAGCTGCCGCCGCCGCCGAAGCTAACCGCGGGGACCGAGATGCAGGTGGGACCGGAACCGGAACCCCCCTCTTCAAGTCCCTCTTCCCTCTCCGCGCCCCGGCCCCGGCGCCTGAGAGGAGCCCCGGGTGGGGACGGGGTTTGGCGGGGTGGGGGGGTGGGGTGCGGAGCGCCATAGGCAGGAGGGACGCCGGGCCCGGGGAGTGCAGCAGACAGGGCTGGCCCCGGGGAATGGGCTGGTAGAGCGTGTCCAGAGAGGAGAGTAGGGTCGGAGTGAATTGACCACCGGGCCCAGAGGGTCCGAGCCGAGAGCGGAGCCTGCACCCTCCACCACCCGCCCTTCGGGAAATAGCAGAACTGAGCCAAGAGGCAGGTGCATCGGGAAAATGTGTCTGAGTCCTGCTTGGCAGAAGAGAAACTGAGTCACCAGCTCGGGAGCCGCAGGGTCAGCAGGCCTGAAAGGGGCTGGGTCTGCCTGTGGTGCAGAGAGTTGGGTGGGCCTGTGTGAGCTGAGGTGGCCTCTGCCTGGAGATTGGTCTCTGCTGTGTCTGCACCTCTTGGCTCGGTTTCCCTGTGCTCCATGACTCTTGCGTCTCCTGGCTTCTTCTTGTTGGTTTGGAATTGTCCTTATGGTTGGAGCTATCTAAGTGTGTAGGGCCTAGGCCAAGGAGGAAGGGGTGGGGTCGCTGACTGTGGGTAGGAGTCTGAGATTTGGGGAGACTTTCCTGAGCTGCCCTTGCCCCAGTCCTGGTGCCAATCATCTTCCATATAATATGGGAGAGGAGCGTTAACAAAAGAGCCATGGATTGTAAATCCCAGCTCTGCCAGTCGCTAGTTGTAAGACCTTGGGAAGGCTCTTCGCTTCTCTAATTTTTCTTTTAGAAATTGGAACCCATAAAGATGGTCATAATGGCAGTCATTTATTGTGTGCTTACTTTGTGTCAAGCACTGACATGTTCCATTTAATGTTCCCAACAATTCTAGAGGATAGGGATCATTAGCTCTGTTTTATAGATACAAAAACTGAAGCTCAGAGAGGACATATAATTTGTTCAAGATCACACAGCTAATAGGTGGCAGAGCAGGGATTTCATCCCAAGTCTGATTCCAGAACCCATCACCTTAAGCACCAGGCTAACAAGCCTTTAGGGCGCACTCCCCAGTGAGAGAAGAGGAAGGTGGAAAATCTTAGGGTCCCAGCTCCCTGTTATGTTTTATTTACTTTGTGGCTAGCGAAGACTTGCCCTGACCCAACCTACGGTCATTCCTCGCCTGGTGCTGTTGCCTCTGGGCTCCAGATTGAAGGGGCACCAAAGAAGTGGGCTGGGGCCTTTCCAAGCTTCCTTCACACGGTGCTTGGGTGCTGGGCCCTGGGGTCAGCTTTCAAGACAATTGCTGTTTCAATCTGTGATCCATCCATCCTCCGTATGAACAACCTCCCTCAGAGCTGGACCTCAGGATGCACAAGGCAGGGTCTCTAAGCTCTGCAGGCCTAACTCTTCTGAGAGCTAGGGCAGTGAAGGGCTGTGACAGGCTGGCCCGGCCAGTTACTGGGGACAAGGACTATGCAGTGGGAAAAACAGTAGACTTGGAGTTCTGAAACTTTTCTGAGCTTCAGTTTCCCCATCTATTATAGAGGTTATTAAAATCTCTCACGGGGAAAGGTAAGAACAGAACGTGGGAAGCATGTAATGTTGAAGGATCTGCTTTAGAGAAGGGAGGTGATGTGAGAAAGATTCGTTTTTAGGGGAAGGTGCTCCACAGCCGGCTGTCGCTTCTGGAACCAAAGCCAGGGAAAGCGGCTTGGGAAGGCAGCAGGATAGGTGCAGGCTAGACTTTGGAGAGCTGGTCGTCTGGGGCTCGTGGGGTGCAAGGATCTGGGAAGGGGAAGGGAGGCAGTTTGATGTGCTTCCCCATTGCGTTCTGAGGAGTCTAGACCAGAACAGGGAGTCTGGCTCGGGGTGGGGCTCTGCCCCCAGTCCCACCTCAGCAGTGACTCGGTGTATGTGCCTCTCTTCCTTCTGCAGCTGCTGCCGCTCACCCCGTGTCTTCTGGCTGCTTCCCTCTTTGCTGCCCCTCCCCACAGGCTCCCCCTCTCCACCTCTTGGGGACCATCATGAATGGTGCCCCTCCTCCAGAGGATGGGGCCTCCCCCTCTCCTCCTCCCTTGCCACCACCCCCTCCCCCAAGTTGGCGGGAGTTCTGTGAGTCCCATGCCCGGGCTGCTGCCCTGGATTTTGCCCGCCGTTTTCGCCTCTACCTGGCCTCCCACCCCCAATATGCAGGGCCCGGGGCTGAGGCTGCCTTCTCCCGCCGTTTTGCTGAGCTCTTCCTGCAGCACTTTGAAGCTGAGGTGGCCCGGGCCTCCGGCTCCCTCTCGCCACCCGTCCTGGCTCCTCTGAGTCCTAGTGTGGAGATCCCGCCACATGACCTGTCCCTTGAGAGCTGCAGGGTGGGCGGGCCCCTGTCTGTGCTGGGCCCTTTTCGATCATCTGAGGACCTGGCCGGCCCCCTCCCTTCCTCAGTCTCTTCCTCTTCTACGACCTCCTCGAAGCCGAAGCTAAAGAAACGCTTCTCCCTCCGCTCAGTGGGTCGCTCCGTCCGCGGTTCAGTCCGTGGGATCCTGCAGTGGCGGGGGACTGTTGACCCTCCCTCCCCAGCTGGGCCCCTAGAGACCTCATCAGGCCCCCCAGTCCTAGGTGGAAACAGCAACTCCAACTCCTCTGGTGGGGCTGGGACCATTGGCAGGGGACTGGTTAGTGATGCAACATCCCCTGGGGACAGATGGACTCACCGTTTTGAGAGGCTAAGACTCAGTCGGGGAGGGGGAGCCTTGAAGGATGGAGCAGGGATGGTACAGAGGGAAGAGCTGCTGAGTTTCATGGGGGCTGAAGAGGCAGCCCCTGACCCAGCTGGAGTGGGCCGGGGAGGAGGGGCAGCTGGGCCTACGTCAGGGGGAGGAGGGCAACCTCAGTGGCAGAAGTGTCGCTTACTGCTTCGAAGTGAAGGAGAAGGAGGAGGAGGAAGTCGTCTGGAGTTCTTTGTACCACCCAAGGTGAGGCCCAGAAGAGGGTGGGTGACTGGGAGCAAGTGATTGAGCAGCCAGAGTGGTAACTCCGCCCACACACATAGCTTTGCTTACTTTGGTTTTTAAAGCCAGCTCCTGACTCTGGGTCAGGAGCTGTGGTCAGGACTGAAAAAGTAGTGTTGGTACCTTTTGTCCAACTCCCTTAGGATGTAGAAGGAAAGATGAATCTCTGGAGGGAAGGGAAAGATGGTCTCTGCACACCCAAAATCTGGATCTTGTTGTCTCTCCTGACCTAGGCGTCTCGGCCTCGACTCAGCATTCCCTGCTCTACTATCACAGATGTGCGGACTACCACAGCCCTGGAGATGCCTGACCGGGAGAACACATTTGTGGTTAAGGTAGGAGCCCTGAGCTCCCCTTCCCCCTTGGAGCGCTTGTGTTGGGGAGAAAGCTCCTTGCACATTTAAGCAAGGGACGCTGGTGGAAGGAGGTGTGTGTGTGTCAGGTGCTTTGTGAGCATGTCCCTGGGGCTGCGGCTTTTCTGGGAGGAGGGGACAGAGGGAGGCTGTTTTTCTTCTCCTTAGGGGTGGATTAAGGCCTCAGGACCTGGAAGTGGCCTGTGGGCCTCCTCTTGTCCCCTAGGTGGAAGGCCCCTCGGAGTATATCCTGGAGACAGCTGATGCTCTACACGTGAAGGCTTGGGTGTCTGACATCCAAGAATGTCTGAGCCCGGGGTGAGGAGCCTGACTTCTGTCACTGAGGGGACCCAGGCGTGGGGATGGGGAGCAGCCTTGTGCCTCTCACTTTCCTCCCAGCACCATTTTCCCTGTGTCTGCAGACCCTGCCCTGCTACCAGTCCCCACCCCATGACCCTCCCTCTGGCCCCTGGGACCTCATTCCTTACAAGGGAGAACATAGACAGCTTGGAGCTGCCCTGCCTGAATCACTCAGAGAGTCTGCCCAGCCAGGATCTGCTGCTGGGACCCAGTGAGAGCAACGACCGCCTGTCGCAGGGTAAGGGTGGAGCCTTAGAGAGCTATGAACCTCAGAACCTGCCACGCAAGACCCCCTGCTGTCAGGCCCAGGCCTTCTCTGCAGACTCTACTGTGCTCCCCATTCCTGCTCCTCAGCTGCCCACCCCCGCCCACTGAATGTTTATCTTTTGTCCCTGAACATGCCAGGCCACAGTTTGCCATTTAGAACCATCACCATCACAATCCCACACAAGCCCCAGGAAAACTCCTGTCCAACCTTCTGTGCCGAGCCTTGTCACCTTTTACAGAAGCTGAGTGCCAGCCAGCACTCTGGCTGGAGATAATGGTTCTCTTCTCCAAGCATCCAGAACACTTTGTACACATCTTTGGGTTGTTCTTACCCTGCATCTCTGTGCATATGTCAATGGTACCAAATTTTCCTTTGACTCTCTGTACTTCTTAGCCTGACTGAACACACGCACACATACCCTTCCCCCGACATAAACACACCAAGACATGTCTACCTGGCCCCAGCTCACCTTTCTAGACTCCACTACACCCTTTCCTCCCCACCTTCCATTCTGAGTTTCAGATTCACAGTACCTAGCACAAAGGCTATATTCAGAGAGTAAACAAGTGAATTATAGAATCTTAGAGCTAGAATGGACTTTACAAGTCATCAGTTCCAATCCCCTCGTTTCTCAGGCAACTAAGACAAGGGAGGGGAAGTGGCTTTTCTGAAGTCACCTGAGAGTCATGGACAAAGATAGGGGCTATGCCAGTCTGATACCTGAGCCACTGCTCTCTGCACTATATACCTGTCTTCTGAGCACTGCCCATGTACAACTTTCCTATAGGCTCCGGCCTGCCACTCAGCAGACATTCAGGAATGCCCTGGTACATAGCAGACCCTGTGCTAGCCTCTGGAGCAGGATGGGGGCACCCAGAGATGCCTGAGATGAGCTCCTTGCCCTCCATGGACTCACAGTCAGCTGAGTTGACAAGATGGCACTCCATCTAAAAAGCAGGACCAAAATGGAGAGCCTGTGCTCAGTGTCCTCTGAGCGGCACAAGCCAGTAGCACCTTGGGAGCTCAGAGGAGGAAGAGAATCGGAGAAGGTGGAATAGACAGGGAATACGACACAGAGAAAGTGAGAGAAAAGCACACGGCTTGGAGGAAGCAAATGGCAAGAGCAGAGACCACACATGGAGAGAGCCCAGGAGATTTGGGAAACTTGGGTGGGATAATTGAGCTAAAGTGGAGGATGCATGAATACAGGTGAACGTGAAGATCAAGCTGGTTAGGTTGGAGGGATTAGTAGAAAGAGGATCTTTGATGCCTCTGAGAGCTGGGGGCTTTGTCCTATAGGCCAAAAAAGAACCCCTTTTTAATGTAAAAATATTGAGTGCTTATCCCCCACCTCCGCACCAATGGCTGTAATTTCAGCACTTGATTCAGAAAAGATATAGGCACGCTTGGATTGTAGGATCTCCTTGCAGTAACTCTGCAGTGCCTCAGCAGTGCATGAAGCATAAGTTGGGAGCCATTGGTAAAAACCATCAGGGGTCACTGACTAAAGAAGGATCCAGCATTTCAGGCAGCTGACTCTGCCAGTGCACACAGGGTAGAATGGCTGGTGGGGAAGTGAACCCATGCAGACCAATCCTGCCAGAGAGTAGCTTCTCAAATTCTCAACTTTGCCCTCCGTTTTTTTCCAGGGGCATATGGGGGCCTCTCAGACCGCCCCTCGGCATCTATCTCCCCCAGTTCTGCCTCCATTAACGCCTCCCATTTTGACTCAATGGAACTGCTTCCCCCAGAGTTGCCCCCCCGCATCCCTATTGAAGAGGGACCCCCAGCAGGGACAGTTCATCCCCTCCCGGCCCCCTACCCGCCCCTGGACACTCCGGAAACAGCCACAGGTACCAGGGGTGTGAGTGTATGTCTGCCTCCAGGCCCACTTCCCCACCTTCTTGAAGCTCTTGTCTTGGGATCCTGAGGGATCTGACCCAGCGGGAGGGAAGTGACACGTGAGGGGAAAGCAAGTCTTTTCTTCTCCCAGGATGGGGGAGGCTTCCCTGACACCCCGGTTTCCCTCCCTCTCTCCTTCCTGAAGGGTCATTCCTGTTCCAGGGGGAGTCAGAGGGACGTGAGGGGGACCAGCCCCTCTCAGGGTATCCTTGGTTCCACGGGATGCTCTCTCGACTCAAGGCCGCCCAGCTAGTGCTGGCCGGAGGCCCCGGCTCCCATGGTGTTTTCCTGGTACGTCAGAGTGAGACAAGGCGGGGCGAGTATGTCCTCACTTTCAACTTCCAGGGCAAGGCCAAGGTGAGTGACTGAGTAAAAGGCTGTATCTTACGCAGCAAGCTTGCGGGTGGAGTCGGGGAACATTGCCGTCCAAGGGAGACGGCTTCTGTAATCGGCAGGGGCGTGGCCTCCCACTTCACCCTGCTCCTCCTGCCCTCAGCACCTGCGTTTGTCGCTGAATGAGGAGGGTCAGTGCCGGGTCCAGCACCTGTGGTTCCAGTCCATTTTTGATATGCTCGAGCATTTCCGGGTGCACCCCATCCCTCTGGAGTCTGGAGGCTCCAGTGACGTTGTCCTTGTCAGCTATGTCGTGTCCTCCCAGCAACAGCAGGGTGAGCAGAGCAGGTCTGCAGGGGAGGAGGTGCCCGTGCACCCAAGAAGTGAGGAGGTGTGTGTGCCAGAAAGACGGGGCGGGGGGCTATGAGGAGGAGAGGCTTGGTTAGGGAGAGCGGAGTAGAGAAGGTTCCTGTGTGTTGGGGTTTCGAAGGGAAGGAAGTACACTGAGAAGCTGTAGGAAGGCAGAGGGCTCCTTGCTGGAGTCGGGGAGGAAGTTGAGAGTTGGGTTGGTGCATTCCCATTCCATCAGACTCCTCTGTTCCATCATTTGTCTGTCTCCTAGATCCATCTTCCCCGGCCTTGTCTTTGCCCTTCGTCACAACCTTGCCTTGTGCCTGCCCTTCTTGGGGATGCTCGATCTGATCCCCTTCCCCCCTCCCTTGATGTCTGATTCCCCTGTCTGATCTCTCCCTTTTCCCCACCCCAACGTCCCATCTGTCCCCACGTTGCCCCTCCCCCCCAGGCCGGGAGCAGGCCGGGAGCCATGCAGGGGTGTGCGAGGGAGATCGATGCTACCCCGATGCCTCCTCCACCCTCATGCCCTTCGGAGCGAGTGACTGTGTGTAAGTGTGGTCCTCCTCTCACCACCGCCCATGATCCATCTTCCATGGATGGGGGGTTGCTCAGGAGATGGGATGTGGGGGAGATAGCACACGGCTCCTTGGGGGATGAGTGAAGGGGAGGCCGCTGCAAGAGCTTGCCTCTCTCCACAATCAGTCTGTCTTCTTACCGTTCCTATCCAGAACCGAACACCTCCCATGACCCACCCCAGCCCCCTGAACCCCCTTCATGGACAGATCCCCCACATCCTGGGGCAGAAGAGGCGCCGGGGGCGCCAGAAGTGGCGGCAGCAACAGCCACAGCAGCCAAAGAGAGGCAAGAGAAAGAGAAAGCGGGCACTGGAGGGGTCCAGGAAGAGCTGGTCCCCGTGGTTGAGCTGGTCCCCGTGGTTGAATTGGAAGAGGCCATAGCACCAGGAAACGAGGCCCAGGGAGGCGCTGGATCTGGTGGGGACCCTGGGGCAACCCCGATGGTGCAGCTCCAGCATTTACCACTAGGGGGCGATGGAGAAGAAGGGGGCCATCCCAGAGCCATTAATAACCAGTACTCCTTCGTGTGAGACACCCACCCTGCTTTTTCTCCACTCTTCTGGCTCCCTAGCCCTCAGTTCCTGAGACTGGGGCTGGGCTGGGACATAGAGGAGCGGTAGGAATCCCCTCCCCACATGCTTCCTGACCCTTGACGGCCAAGGGCATGTATGTTGGTACAAGAAGAGGTTCAAGAGCCCTATTAACTCCCCAGTTGATACACTACAGGTGCCCCATCCCCTGGGCAGGGGATTCGGGCTCCATTACCTCCCCAAGGGGCTCTTATGGTCAGCCCCACCCCTGGGGGCCATTTCCCCCATTAACCACCCCCTAACCCAAGAAAGGGTGAGGGGGAAGGGCTGTCAGTTATATTAAGGTGGTTGTTGTTGTTGTTTTAAACAAAATGGAGAAGCATAAATAAATAAAAGGGTTTATCTCAGTTCCATCATGATGGCTGTGGCCAGTGTTTGCAGTGGGGGCTGGGAGGTGGGGGTCAGGAAGGCAGCCCACTCAGCGTTGTGAACTCCAGACCGGAGGGGCCGGAGGGCTGGGTCAGATTGAGTCCCTGTGCAGTCGGCCCATCGCTCCGCTGTGGGTTGTCCTGTTGGTCGAGTGGTAAGTGCAGAGCCAAACAGTGCTTCTTGGGGTTTCCAGCGAAGTTCTCTTAATGGGACAGGATTATTAACAGCAGGATTGATGTTCTCCAAGGGCCTTTCCTGCTTTGAATTCTTCAGTTAAGCCTTCCTATCCTGGGGGAAAGCAGGCAGAGAAAGATCATGGGAGTGGGCCGGGGGCATGGTGGCTGTGTTAGGAGAGATTTAATGTGGCAGCCACAGAGTGGCTGCAGAGGGGCCCAAGGGCAGGCTGACTGCCCTCCTTCCCAGAGCCAAGCTGGGAAGCTGGAGCATGGATGACCAAAAGCACTGTCTTCCAGTCGTGGCTTTGCCTCTCACTTGCTGTGAGGCCCGGTCAAGGTGTAGCCCCTCCAGGCCTCAGTATCCTCATCTGTAAAATGGGAATTTTCATCTAGGTTGGAGCTGCTGACATGATTTGCTTGACCTGGATAATGTTCCCATTGGAGTTCACATAAAAGTTCAGATTATTGGCTTCTCATGAAAATCAGAAGACAGCCTCACAGAGTCTACCTTCTACATCTGCTCCATTCCCACCAGCCCACTTCACTCACATGGTGTGCCTGGCTCTATGGGCATCTGAGTGCAGCATCTTCCCTTCCTCCCACACTCCCCTCCTTAGACCCAGGCTCTGCTCTCTGAACTGAACTGTGGCTCTGCCCTGCTCCAATGGAGGGCACCCCTGGGCTTCCTTTCTGGGGGTGGTGGGTGCCAACAAGGAGGAGCCAGGTTCTGAAGACTCTCACGTATTTTCCTTGGCCCTCTCCCCTCCCTACCTCCATCCAGCTCTGCCTCTTACCATTCTGCCTCTCACTTTCCCTCCCAGGCAGCATGGAGCCTACATGCCCCTCAGCCTCTCCCCCCACCTCCAGGAGGCCCTACCCATGCTTATGACCTTGCTATTCTGGGCCTTGTGTCCTGTTGGGAGATGGACAGGAGACAGCTGGGCTCATAGGCCACCCACGCTGGGGGCTAGCTGGGGGAAGCCTTCTGGCTCTCCTGGTTTTGTCTAATCCCTGGGGCTCCCCCAAACCTTGGCTTCAGGAGACTGGGAATAGAATCGGCTTTGCAAAAATGGGATGGTTTGGGGATCTGGGTGCTGTGTTCTCAAAGTGAGATGGTGAGTGAAGGCTGTGGTGCTCTGGGGTAAGCAGGACCTGATCCTCTCCTAATCTAGCAGCAACTGTTGCTGTGAGGCTCCCCCCGCCCCCAAACCCTGCCAGCCTTCAGGGACTTGCCTTCAGAAGATGAGTGGGGGAGGGGTAGGAGGATTCCCTCAGCCCCCAAGATTTGTGTCTCTTGGCTTAAGGAGCCTAAGAGACTACTACTCCCCTCTAAGCCTTTCCTTATGAATTGTTAAACTGAAGTTTGGAACTGGTCAGAGATTGGCCAGGCTCTATCTCTATGTCCTTCAGAGCTAGGCCTCTACTGTTCTCAGCATCAGCCATCAGGCAGAAGAGGAAGAATGTCTTCCAGCTCTGGGCTTGGAGACCCCCAGTGGGGGAGTCCAGGAGAGCGCCTTATGTGCAGCCTTCCTCCATCCCAGTTCACACCCCCAGCCTCCCTGATGCTGATCCTTTTGCAGTTCTTGGCTGGTGGCTTTCCCTCTCTGGCTTCAGTTTCCCCCTCTCGGAAGTTGAGGGAGGTAGAAATGAATAACCTTAAAGGGCCCCGTTGGCAGTGACATCCTGTAAATCCTGCCTCCTTTCCTGGCTTCTTGCTCTCAACTCTCTTGAAGCTGCGATCTCTCCAGTCTTCTCCCCGTTCTCCATGTTTGGGCATTCCTGCTCCTTTAAGACAGTGCCCCTGTCACTCCTCCAGGTGGTGGTAGGGAGAAGCCAGCCAGCGCCAAAAAGCTTGGCAGATGCTAAGCCTGACTCTGGCCTAAGAAAGTGGGTGCTGGGCCAGGTGGAGGTGCCTGTCAGTGTGACCCCCGACACTCATACCCCATTGTCTAAGCCCCCCCAATCCCAGGTCACAGCAGGATTTTGCTTCAGGGGAGGGGTTTGTTAGAACCATGAAAAGGGGAAGGGAAGGAGCACGGTGTCCTCAACTCACCCTGGCAGCTGCCCCTCCCCCCAAGTCCAGGCATAGGAAGGGATGAGTATGGGGGGATAAATCCTTAAGTTCCATCTACCCCTGCTGTCCTACTCCCCAAAAGTAGGGCTTCCTTTCCTTTGCCCCGCTGTCTCCTATGGCATTGTCTGCTTAGGAACTTGAGCGCCGGAGAGGAAAACAGCCTTGAGAACCCTTTTAGTGGTCCATGTTTCTCATTGTTCATCTCAGGAAACTGAGGCCTGGAGGGAGGAAGGACTTGAGACCAGGGTCATGACGCTCCTTCTTCCCCTCGCTGACCTTTCACCATTATGCTTACTGAACCTCTCTCTTCTCTCTGCCCTCCTTTCCTCTGGCCTCACCCCATGCTACCCTCCGTCTGCTCCTCCAGCAGCTGCCCTGGTAGTAATCAAGAGACGCCCCCGTCCTGGAGTAGGGGTGGGGGTGGGGGGCTCAGACAGCTGCTTCTCTGAGGAAGCTGACACCAAGGCCAGCCGCTCAGCAACAACTTGTGGTTTTGCACCCAGCCCTGGGCCCCTGCTGCCCTGGCTGCTGCATGCCTGCTCTCTGCTGTCCCCTTTTCCCACTGCTCAGACTTCCCTCTGACCCTGGCACCCCCGTCTCTGCTCTCCCAGCTCTCTTCTGTCCTCATTTCCCCTAGACCTGACCCATGCATCTGCCTGCTCCCCATTCCTCTGTCTGGAGCCTCGGTCATACCCAGCTCACCCAGGCCTCTTTCCTGGATGCCCCCTCCCTCATGCCTCTTCTGGTGGGATGCGCCCAGCACCTGAGCACATGGCTCTGATCCTCTCTCCCCTTGAGGACAGATTCTTCACAGCCAGGGTGGAGTGCGGACCATACAGTGGGGTCTGCCTTGAGTTAAAGAGAGCACAGTGTGGGATGAGGTGACCCTCATTTCATGTCTTGGGGTGACCCCTGCCCCGATCCTGAAACATTTATCCCTCCCCCTCTGCCATCAGCACGTTCTGTAGCTTCTTGGGTTACCCTGCTGCTGGGGTATCCCATTTTCTTGGTGGGGGGGATTCTTTGTCAGGGATGGGGGGCCCTGAAGGCGATGTTCCCAGAGGCCGAGTTAGAGCGATGGGGAGGGGGAAGCTTGGGGGAGAGACAGACAGTCCTGGCTTTGCTCACCAGGGCCTGGACACTAAATCCCTTGTTGTTGGCTTTAGCAACCTCTCCCTGGGGTAGGGTTACCATCTTCTGCCCTATCCCTTTGACCCTCTCCCCTCTTGACTTCCCCTTGTCCCTCTAGAGGCACTTCCTCTGGTCCCCAAAGGATGTTCTCCTCTCTTCAATCCCCTGAAGTTTGGAGGATCTCTGCTGCCCTTTCAACAAAATAGGCGAGGAAGAAGAAGACTGTGACAGTAGAAACAGGTCCAGGGTGGATGAGACGGGAAGAGAGGTGCGAGGAAAGCAAAAGGCGAAGGCCTGAGAGGTGGAGCATGCTTACGGGAAGAACTAGGGGCGTGAGTTTGGAATAGGAAATCCAGTGCAACTGAGGAAGTCAAAGCAATTGGGGTCAGCAGCAGAAGACAGAGAGTGAAGTCTCTCCCTGCCCCCCCTGCCCCGGGGCTGGGGCCACCTTAGCTTCCCTCATGAGTGACATCTCAGGCTGCAGCCCCACTGTTCCCCCTCTGTCAGCAGAAATATCTCTCTCTTCTGATCCCTCCTGCTGAAGTCTCAGCCAGCCAATCCCTGATCTGGAGGAGGGGGGAGCCTGCCCCCCCACTCTCTCATAAGGACCAGCTGGGGGTTGGGGGGGTGGCCGGCTGCTGCAAGTGGGACTGGGTTAGAGCTTTGTGGAGGGAAGAAGAACCTGGGGGGGGGGCAGGAGAGAAAAAAGAAGAAACCCAGACAAACAGGCAGGTGGACTCACTGAGGAAGGCTCCCCACGCGTGAGAACCCTCCAGAAGGAACACACCGCCCCCTGGCCCCCAGGAAGGGAGCATAATGGAGGCTGCACACTCCAAGACCACAGAAGAATGTTTGGCCTATTTTGGGGTGAGCGAGACTGCTGGCCTCACCCCGGAACAAGTTAAGCGGCATCTGGAGAAATACGGCCCCAATGGTAAGTGTCCCTTGGAGAAGAGACTGCTAACAACTTCTTGTGCCCCCTACAATACACACACACACACACACACACACACAAATATGGCCTTAATGATAAGTGTCCCTTGGAGAAGAGACTGGTAACAACTTCTTGTGCCCCCTGCAACACAAACACACACACTGGAGCCTCACCCTTAAGGGTATCTTAGGGAAGAGCTGGGCCATGGTCCAATGACTGCAGGGGGGAAGAGGATCCTGAGAAAACGGTCCCTGAGACCCAGAGTTTTAGGAGGTTTTATGGGATGACCTTGGTGAACCTCAGATCGCCTTTTGGTGGCCTGATTCTCTTACCTTAGCCACAAAGTCCTTGATGCGGGGGGCATTAGACTGAACCTCAAATGAATATGTCCTTTTCTTCTTTTTCCCTGGGTAGAGCTCCCTACTGAGGAAGGTAAGTTGTTGGAATCCCTGAGCTCTGGTAAATGACCCTCCCTCTGCTCTGGGCCCCACTCCTTTCTCTCTGCCTTCATCCTACCCACTCCTGGGCAGATATCCCTCCCCAAAGGTTAGAGTCTGGCTGGAGGCAGAAGTTTCCAGGCACATTCTCCTTGAAGCATCCAGCCCTTGAACCACTGCCCACCACATTGAGGAGCCTGGTGGCTCCCTCAGTCCTTCTCTCAGTACCAAGTGGCCTTGCCCATCACCCCAGAACCTTCCTGCTCCAGGCTGTAATTCAGGGCACTCTCAGTCCCTGGACCCCAGCCTGCACCTGGAGTCCCAGCGCTTCATCCATCCATCCACCAGACCTTAACCCTGGGAGTGGGGCTGCCTCCTCTTGCCTCTTTCCCCAGGGAAGTCCCTGTGGGAGTTGGTGGTAGAGCAGTTTGAAGACCTCCTGGTGCGGATCCTTCTCCTGGCTGCCTGCATTTCCTTTGTGAGTGTGGTAGGACATCTGGGGGCTGGCTGGGTGTGTGGGTTGCAGGAGATCTGGACGGCCTGTTGGCAGAATGCTCCGAATTAACCTGTTGCCCTCAGCATCCTATTCTAACAGACCAGAACTGAGGGAGGTGGGAAGGCGCTGATTTGCATCTTCCTGTGTCCTCCCCCACACCCTGCAGGCAGGTTTTATTTTAAGCTTTAAGGGTGTTCTCAGCCAAAACACTGAAGCTAAGCCACCCCTGCAGCTTCAAGAGCTTCGAGGGCTCAGGTTACCCCCAGAGCCGGCTCCCCAGCCCAGAGACTCCCTGGCCACCACTACTCCCAGCATGCCCCGGGGCACACCACGCCCTGCTCCACCAATCCCTGAGCATCCTGACGCCCATGCCCCGCCCTCCTGACACTGATTGGTTGAGGCAAATACTCCCCCCTAGAGGCGGGAAAGAGCTCCTGGTGCGAGGATGGCTCCAAATGCCCCCGAAAGCCCAAACCCCTCATCTGTCTCCCAGCTTCGCCACCCTCCCTCCAATGAGGACTGGAACTCCTGGGTCCCCATCCTCACGCTCCTGGCCTGACCTTCTCCTTCCCCCGCCCCTCACAGCCTCAGCCCTGCCTGCCCACTCTCCAGGCCCTGCCGTCTCTCGGCCCCAGAGCTTCCCTCAGCACCCACCATCCCAGCAGTCCATCCTGCATTTGGGAGTTTCTTCCTTAACATCTTATTCCTGCCGGAAGACGAGACTCTAGAGGCAAAAGAAGTCTCCTCGTCTCCTGGTCTCCTTAATGGAGGCCTTGTAGGCCCCTGAGTCCTAGCTGGCAGGGCCTCCCTCCTCCCTTCTCAGATTTGCTCCTTGACATTTGCCTGTGGCTGTTGCCTGGCAGTGGCAACAGCTGGGGTGGGGTGTGTACAGGAGGCCCCGTAACACTATCCCCACCTCCTGCTCCCTCATGAAATCAGAGCTTCCCTGCCTTGGGCTATGGGGGAGGGCTGTGGGTGGGCCAGTCGCCTGCAAGGACCACAGGGTTTTTCCTATGGAGTTTTGGCTCCCATGGGATGGATGTAGCTTTGGGGGTAGTTGGCTCGGGTGTCCCCTGAGGTTTGTTTACAAGCCAGCAACTCAGTCAGGGGAACCTAAAAGCATTCCCAGTTAATCCCTAAGGTGTGCATGTCTGTGCCCGCCTGTGCCCGCTGAATAAGAGCAGCGGCAGTGCCTATGTGAGTATGCGCCTTGGAGCATGGAGAACCTCACACCCACGTGGGGCTGCAGCACTCGCATCGTGCCCTGCCCTGTTTGTCCACACATTCTCACCTCCATCTCCTCTCTTTACCCATTTGAGGGGCTTTCTTACCTGTTATTCTCCCTTCCCCTGCTCTCCAGGTGCTGGCCTGGTTCGAGGAAGGTGAAGAGACCGTCACTGCCTTTGTTGAACCCTTTGTCATCCTCTTGATCCTCATTGCCAACGCCATTGTGGGGGTTTGGCAGGTTAGCTTTGACCCCGCCTCACTCCTTCATGTCCTGACACCGACCGTGAAGCCGGCCTCCCTCCCTGTCTTCTCCTCCTCCATGACTTGCCCTGGGCTAGACTCGTTCTCTGGTCCTATTGCCCAGTTGGGAAATGGGACAGAGTGTTAGAAAGAGGTGGGAGACTGGTGTTCCCACTGTCACTTGCTGGCCATATAACCCTGGGCAATTTCCTTCATTTCTCTGAGCCTCAGTTTCCTTATCTGTAAAATGGGGCTAATGATCCTATCCCTCAGAGATGTGGGGAAATTTAACAAGATGGTGAGTGTGGAAGCGCCCAGCCTTGTGCCTGCCATACGGTAGAATTTCGATAAATGCTAGTTTGATTTCCTTCTTTCTCTTCCCTTCCCACCCTCTATTTTTCCTGTCCCCTGCTTTCTGATTTCCTTTGATTCTTCTTTCCTCTCTTCCCCAAACCCTTTACCCACTTTCAGCCATAGGGGACAGTTTCCTCAACACAAATACACCTACCCTCGTGTGGGGTTTGTCTGCTTCCCCATGTCAGGAGCCTGGGCTGTATAACATGCCTCCTCCCCTGTGATGCCTGGAAGGTTTCCCCCGAGACTCTTGCCCCTGCTCCTGCATCTCCACACCCCCTAATCCTCCCCCACCAGTCCCCTCCCATTCCACAACTTCCTTCCTCTGATGACCCTCCTCTCATCCACCCTGTCCCCCAGGAGCGTAATGCAGAGAACGCCATTGAGGCTCTGAAGGAATATGAACCCGAAATGGGAAAGGTCTACCGGGCTGACCGCAAGTCAGTGCAAAGGATCAAGGCTCGGGACATTGTCCCTGGGGACATTGTGGAAGTGGCTGGTGAGTGATGGAAATGAGTGGTCCAGGATGGAAGGCCTTGGGTTCGAGGCCAAGGAGATGTGTATATTGGGAGTCGGGGCTGGCCAGCCCCTGGTCGTGGTGTCCAAGATGTAGCCAGGACGGCAGAGTCTTTGCCTCTCCTTCCCAGACTCCTCAGGAGGTCACCCCAGGGCATTGTGGCCACAGCACCCCCTCCCTGCCAGAGTCTCAGCAGGAACAGCCAGTCCTGTCCCTGAAGCTGCAGGCAGACCCCCTGCTCCCCTCCTCTCGCCCAGCACTTGCAAGCAACAGGTGGAACCCAGTCTCTGCCAATGGCTCTGTCTCCACCCCCCTCCTGAGCCTGGCTTCCCTCTCCTTCCACCCACCCCCAAGCTTGGTCAGCTTTAAATCTTGACCTCTCAGTGTCCTTGAGGCCTCTCAAAGGGGAAGGAGCGAGGGTAGAAGGGAAAAGGGGGGCCGAAGGCTCAAGCCCCCGCCCATGTAAGGGAAACTCAGGCGCCAGCAGAGAGCACGGGACCTGGGAGCAGAAGAGCTCAAGGAGCGCCCCGCCTCTGGGCTGAGGGACACTTAATGCCTGACGGCAGGGTGGGGGCCGGGGGCTAAGATTACTGGGATTCTGCCCCCTTCAGCGGTTTTTATATTTGCCCTGTGCAGGCCTTCCCCCGTCTCCAGGCCCCTGGCATCGGGGAATATATCTTTCTAGGCCTGCTTGCCTCCACCAGACACTCAAGTCACCATCATGGGAAGCTTGGGGAGAGGGAGGGAAGGCAGGCAGAAGACCCTGGTGGGCCATCACAGGGCCATCTTGCCACAGTGAGGGTTTGGAATCAGCGCCATGAATCTCTATAAATATCTCTTCAGCTTGGGTGACAAGGGTGTCCCGCCCAACTCTGTCGCCAACCTGCTCCCTCTGTCAGCTTCCTCTGGCACAGGAGGAGGGACCTTAGAAACAGAGAAAGGAAAGTGATCAAACCCTGTCCCCGGTACTATCCATGGGAGCAGGCGGGATTAAGCAGAGGCCCTGGGAGGTGATTAACCTCCTCAAAGGTTTCTGAGTCTGGCGGGGCATCTGCCTCGTCAGCCTCCCCCCAGCATGGTCTCTGTTCTGACCCACTCTTTCTGTGCTTCTCCCTTGGCCTCCCCCCTCTTTCTCAGCTCTCTGGGCTGTGTCGCTGCCCTTGCCCCCCCACTCCTTGTTTCTTGCAGCCCTCCCCTTCTCTCCTGCGCAACTCCCCAGCTCACTCACCAGGGCTCCTGGCCTTCCTTCAAATGCTCAGACAGGGCCTGGCAGGTTTCTGATGTGCAGACCTGCGCCCTTTGCCTGAGCCGCTCCTCCCTCTCCAGCGTCCTCACCCTTGTATCTCCCTCTCCATCACTCTCTCCTGCTTCGCGCTCCACCTTTTGTCTTGGGTGACAATGACTTTTTCGCTTCCCCTAGTTTCTCCTGTGTCTTCCTGCCTCCCCAGCTGTTCACCTTCATTCTCTTCCCCCGACACACTTCTCTCCGACTCACCCTGTTTTCCTTAGTTC